AGAGGTTTGCCATTGCCTTCCTCTGAGGCTGAGAGCATGTGACTTGCCACAGGTCACCCAGTGGGTTTCATGGCCAAACAGGAATCAAACCATGGTCTCCAGAGTTAAACACTCAACCACTATACCATGCTTACCAGGTCAAAAAGTAGGATTACTGACCATCAGGAAACTCAGTCAGGATGAATAATAGACCACTGACAATTTTTACAGTTTTATATTGGTATTTGAACATCCCAAAAGGGAATTAGTCTGTGGACAAAAGCACATGGAATTTCCCCACAAAAATATATTAAAAATTCTGCATGTACAGTACAGAAAATGTGTTTTCTACACAGGAAACCTGATTTCTGCACAAAAACCAGGGTTTTGTGTATGTACAAAAACAAACATGTTTTTCTCTGCAAACCGATTCCTCTGCACCACTTTGGCATGTTCAAATAATATTCATATAATTCATTCAATCCACCAGTCAATCTGAGGAGAATTCTGTGGAGGAATACAGTGGGTCCTTGTTATTTGCTGCGGTTTGGTTCCAGGACCCCTCGTGAACAACAGAATCCGTGGATACTCAAGTCCCATGAAACACAATGGCATAGAAAATGGCATCCCTTATATAAAATGGAAAATAAAGGTTTGCTTTTGGAATTTATCCTTTTTTTTGAATATTTTCAAGCCGTAGATAGTTGAAGGAGGGCCGACTGTATAAATTTTCTTGCCTTTGCCTGGGGCTGGGAGTAATGTGGTTCTCCAGATATTTTTGCACTGCGACTCCTAGCATACTTCCCCATTTACTCTCCTGGTTGAGGCTGCTTGGAGCTGTAGTCCAACAATCGGTCAGGCTGCATGATTTCCACCCTTGCCTTAACCTTTGCTCTATAGTTGCAGGTCAAGGAAGGAACTATACCATTATACAGTTGGCCCTCCATATCTATGAATTCTTTATCCACAGATTCAATCATCCACAACTTGAAAATATTCCTATATATATATATATATATATATATATTCCAAAAAGAAAACCTTGATTTGCCATTTTATATAAGAGACACCATTATACTATACCATTACATTTAATCGGAATTGAGCTTCCACAAATTTTCTATCCATAGGGGGTCCTATAACCAAATCCTGGGGAAACCAAGGGCCCACGGTGTTAGATTTTTAATCGGTTTTGAGCACAGTTGATTATGAAGTGTTAGCAATACACCCCAAGTGTTCATACAGCCAATTAAAATGTGGTCATATTTATTCCTTGATGGGCAGTTGTGGGGTAGGCAGGGTAATGGATGAATAGTCTTTAACATCTTGGGTTTGTCCCAGTGGTTTCCAAAATTGTCACATGCTGTAGCTCTGTAGCTGGTTCACAGTTTAACAATGTTTATCATCATCATCGTCGTCGTCATCATCCCTCTTTCCCTACAAAATTGGGACTCACAGTAGCTTACAGTTTAAAAGCACAGTACAATTAAAAACTTACAGAAGGGACAATTAAAATAGAATTAAATTATTGCAATATTAAAACAGATAATTTGTTTTAAAAATAGAATGCAATTTAAAAAGATAAAAGCAACCCTATGTATCTTTACTCAGAAATAAATCCCATTGAGTTCAATGTTGTTTTTCTTATTGTTACATGCCTTCAAGTCATTTTCACTTTACGGCAACCCTAAAGCTAATCTATTGCAGGGGTTTCTTGGCAAGATTTGTTTCTGGGGGGTGTATTAACTTCCTCTAAGGCAGAGAGAATGGGACTTACCCATGTTCACCCAGTAGGTTTCAATGGTCAAGCAGGGATTTGTACCCCGGTCTCCTGGGGTCCAATACTCAAACCATTGCATCCCAATGGCTCTCAATTTTGTATACTTTTCATTAAATTTGCAACTTAAAGCTGAAACCTTATGCATACATACCTGGAAGTAAGTCCCATTAAACTCAATGGATGCCTCTGAGTAAACATACACTGTTTATAATGTATACATGCTTATGTGAGCCAGAGTGGTTTATTGACTTGAGCAATGGATTAGGACTCTGGGAGACCAGGGTTCAAATCCCTGCTCAGCTCTAAAAATACACTAGGTGACCTTGGGCAAGTCACACTATCTCAGCTTCAAAGGAAGGCAATGGCCAAACTCACCTGAACAAATCTTGCCAAGAAAACCCTGTGATAGTTTTGTCTTAGGGTCACTTTCAGTTGGAAACAACTTGAAGTTGTCAAAAGAAGCCTGAAGTTTTGGATGCCATATCCGATGGATAGATTTCCTGTAACTAACACTGCTCTGATGGATGCTTGGAGTGGCTACAAGCTTGCTTATTCATCTTTGCTTCTTTTCCCCTCCTTCTTTTAAAGAAAAAGCATGTTTGTGGATTAAAAATGCCTTAAATAAGGTTACAGAAGCAAATTATTGCTTGGTGGTATGGCCAGGCCAAAATTGGTTTGCAGTGGCAACCCAACTTTCAACTTGCTGCTTATTCTTGCTGCGCCATATAAAGAGGCAGATCAGAGAATTACCTGGTCACAAGATTTGAGCAGGATTAAAAAGTAGAGGAAGAAATACCAGCTGAAGAGAAGCCCTGAAGCCAAATGAAGTCTGGAACTAGGAAAATAAGGGGTGCATTTGTAGCTGGTAGGGGAGTTGCAGGGCTGGAGAAAAATATCTGCTGTTCTTTCCAGCCAGAGATCTGCTTAGGATGATGGGACATTG